AGAAGTAATATTTAGTTTCCTTCGATTCCCCTTTCTGTTTTGGTGGCACAAGAGAATTGAGCCCAGGGCCTTTGCGCTGAGCTATGGCCCCAGCCTTTTTGTTTTCTATTTTGAGACATGGTCTTACTAAGTCACTAAGTTGTCCAGGGTGAACTAGAATATGTGATCCTCCTGCCTCAGCCTCCCAGAGTTCTAGCATTACAGGAGTGTTGCCTCTGTGTTTAGCTGTTTTCCTTCACTTTCTGTTGGGCGGGAGTAGGTCCGCCCATGTCTGAGGAGGTGGGGAAATGCAGGCTCTGTCAGCTCGACACTGTGGCCCATTAGGACATGTGTGCATTTTTATGAGGCTGTGTAGCTGTGTAGCCTATTCAGTGGGAGATGTTTGGAGACGAGCATTTTAGGAACTGTGAAGCCGCAGTTTGACTTTGTAGTCTACTTAATGACTGAGGCAAGTTCCAAATAGCCCTCAAGTGGGGACACCCTCACTGCTCTCGCTGTGGGCCCCAGGGAGTCAGCACGACCACCTGTCCTAAGCCCCAGGCTGGCCCAGGGTTGGGCAGGGAGGGGAACCAGCAACTGTTCTACTGCTTGGCGCCAGGGTGTCACCCAGACTCTCCTGCAGGGTCACCAACTCTTTTTGCTTTTTCTGAGACCTTCTCACTCTTAGTACTTAAATATCCCTGTCCCTAAAAACCTCCTCATCCCAGACGAACTAGGACAACTTACCTGGAATCGTCTTCATTTAAAATGTGAAGACTTTTGCTCAGGAAACCTGCTCAGTCCCTTGCAAACCGGGACACTGTCCGCCTTGCTGTCCTTCCAGAACAACCTTGGAGGCCATGGCGACATCAGCTGACGAAGAAGGAGCTTACCCCAGGCTTTCTATGGAGAGAAAATGTCAAAGGAGCTTGGGATTGTTGTGAGCAGGGGAGGAATAGACATGGCCCATTTTCCGGCAGTGAGCGCATGCAGGGGAGCGGACAGTCTATCAGCGGTCACAGCAGCTGTACCCTCTGTTCCCACACGAGGGCAGGTGGCACATGGCTCCTGCCAGCTGCTGCTATCTGTGTGGGAGATTTTCTGCAGGAGCCTTGCACTAAAAGAGTGAAGTCTATCTGCCTTCATGACTAGAAGGCGGCCATACATTATTTCCCTGTTGGTTTCATGTCGGTGACATTGTAATTAGCTGTGGACAGGGTTGTCCAGGGATGGTTCGGTTTGGTCCCCTTGCGTTATTTCTGTCTGCTGACAGCTCACTGAGATCAGTTATTGTGAGTCACACTGTGCTTCGTCATGGAGGGGCCTGCAAGGGTTTCTCCTCTGTCACAAGCAGGCATCCCCATGGATAGAACGGGGAGAATCCATGGTGGAAGAGGCCAGGTTGAGCCGGTAATGAGACCCCGGGCTCTCTCACCAGCCCAGAGGACCGTCAGCAAGCAGCAGGACCTTGGCCGGCAGGCAGAGGCGTCTTTGCCACCTCTGAAGGTTGATAGTAAGAAATGGACAAAGTCACATTTCAGAGGGACCAAGGCCTAGGGCAGGTCCACAAGGAAAGTACAATAAGCACAGCTGGGCAGAAGGTCAGGGTGTGTGCAGCGCTGTAGGGAAGGGGCAGAGGGGCCCATTTCTTGGGAGAGGAAGGTGAGGAGATATGGGGCTGACCTGCCCCAGTTTTCCAGGCTTTGCCCACTTGTGAGAGCAAATGGAGTCATGGGTGCATCCGGGCCTCAGAGGCACTGGCTGCTAACTGCCCTCTGATCATCCGGTGTCTCAGCACCTCCTCCCCAAGCTCTCTGGGCGCAGGGGTCTTCTGGGGACACAGCCAGGCTGCAAGCAGTTTGTGGGGGTGCCGTGACCCCGATCGGTTCAGGGTCATCTGTGTGCTGCCTCTGTCCCAGGTTCCAGAGTGTCTTGCATGGCTAAACCATGGCCTGCGGTACCCCGGGTCTGGGGCAGGGGGCTGCGGGCCGAGGCTCCTCAGTTCTGCCTCTCTTGTCCTCTGACGCCTGGTGCCGCTCGGGTCTGGAGTTTTCCCAGAGGGCTTCTTCTTTCAAATAAGGGACACGAAAGCAATCTGCATGTCAGCCAACATGGACAGAAGGCCAAAGAGGTCACAGGCCCTCCAGCTCTGGCGCGGTTTGGACCTGGCCAGGAGCTCATCTGTAATCTTTCTCCTGCCTCCCAATGCCACGGAGGCCCTAGTTCACTGTAAAGAACATCTCTAAGGAAGATAAAATGGGGTCCTTTGTTTTAGGTTTTGGAACCCTTCTTTTTTATTAATTCATACTCGTCACATACAGTGATCACATTCATCATAGGGACGTTGTTCCTGTATATATCTTACTTCTTCTTTTTTTTTTGCATTCCTCTCCCCTCCCTTCAACTCTTCTTTCCCTCTTCATTCACGAAAGTTTTCTTTCCATTTCCCTTCTCTTCCTCCCTGCCAACTTCCTTGCTCCCTCGTTCCCCTTCCCATTTGAACACGTAGAATGGGGTGCTTTTGAAGATGCTCAAAAATGTCATCACAGTCGATTTGAATTAAAAAATGTTGGGGGAAAATGAATCCTTACATTTGGAATAATTAAAACCTGAAAAGTGATGGAGCAGTTGTTAAGGTCCCCAGAGGATCCTATGAAATTCCACTGAGTGTAGAGAGATTAGCACTTTACTTTTCTCCTTCTCCATCCGCCCGCTCTGTGCATTTGTGATTCTCTCTCTTTGTAATACTTAGGGTTGAACCCAGGGTTTTTGCACTGAGTTATAGCAGTAACCCCTTAAAAAAATTTTTTTTTAAATTTTAAAACTTTGAGACAGAGTCTTGCTAAGTTGCTGCATTGGCCAGCCTGGGTGTCTTAGATACTTTCTCGTCAGTGAGACACAACCAGCACCCGCAACGTAAAGGAGGAGAGGTTTATTTAGCTCCCAGTTCGTAGAGGTTCCAGTCCATAGTTGGCTGGCTCTAACACAAGGCAGCACGGCAGAGGGCCACGGAAGGGAGGAATTGCTCAGGGGCTGGCAGGCAGGAAACAGAGAGATCAAGGGAGGAGGGAAGAAGATGGACCCTCCAGGCCATGCCCCCAGTGAGCGCCTGCCTCCTCCAACCAGTCCTTACCTCCAACAATACTTTTATCTGTAAGCTCATCAGTGGACAAACCCATTGACAAGTATCACGCTCCCGTAATCTGATCACCTCCCCGAAGCTCCACCTATCTAGATAGACCCCATAGTGAGGGCTTATTCCTCTTTTGTTTCATGCAAAATAGTGCTATGGATGTAGCCAAGGAAAAGAAAGTATTGGGCAATTGTTTATTTTTTTATGCAGCTACAGTTGTTCTGAGTATACAAATTTATAAGGCATCTTTCCACTTAACTTATTGTAGCCTCTTATAAAGCTAAGAAGATGTTGAGAAAAAAGACAGCTCCTGGAAACAAAATCAGGCCAAGGATGGGTGCTACCGAAAGAGCAATCTTGGCTACATCGCTGTGCTAGAGATTAGATTGGTGGCTCTGGTTTGTGAGAATATCTGTGTTAGGTTCTAGATGGGACCTTCCTTGGGTCATTTGGGACTTTGTGGGACTTAAAGACACTGGTAAGAAAAGGCAGAAGAAAGTGTTTTAGCCTTCACATTATCCATTTCTGAGTTTCCTGGGAGCTGATGATCTCTCTCCTGCCCAGATCTCTCGGGGGAGCCTCAGTGTTGCTTTGCTGACTGTGTGTCAGGACTTGACATTGGCCATGACCTTTGAACGAGCGAGTGCTGAGTTTGCTAATCATGCCCTTTTCTTACTGATCGTTAAGGGACAGCAGAGTGACCTGGGGAGCTCTGTTGCATGTAGTTGAGGTATGTGCCAAAGAGGTTGAGCTGACCTGGCCACAATTTCCTGTACAACAGTGGAAAATGAGGAAAGAGCTGTGCTTTGTAATTGTGTTTTCTTTTTTATTAAGAAAAAAAAATCATTCATGCTGACCTAAACTAAAAGACCTAGGTCTTCATCACCAACCCCTGGGTCAATTGGCTCCTAGACTTGAGTAGCCAAGCTTTCCGGCTTACCTAAGAAAGATGTGAAGTCCTTACAGGCCTGTGGATGTGACTCTCCTACCAGCATCTATCCAGACCTCATGACCAATGCGGTGAAGTTCTTTCTGGTTGCTAAAGAACTAGGCCAACCTAACCAAGCTGGCTTGGGGGTATAGTTCAGGAAAAAGGGTGAATATAATTTCATCTTTTTTCCTCTCTTGTGGGTGCATAGGAATTAATTAGAGTTCCTAGAAAATTATTCCCTTTTGCTCCAAGTAATGTCAGGGTTTCCACCCAAGTCCTCTGTGAATAGGGGCAATTTGACTGGATGCTAGGGCAGGGTTGTTGAACCTGGAGATGACAACCATGTACTTTTTTTTTTTTTTTCCTTTTGGTTCTGGGGATTGAACTTGGGTCCTTGTGCTTATGAGGCAGGAGGTGGAACCACTGAGCTAAATCCCCGGCCCCATCCAAGTACTTTTGATTCTCTGAAAGGCATCAGTCAGCCTGAGCTCCAGGCCTTAGTATCTTCGTCTATCAAGCGGGAATGAAATGTGTTCATTCATTTCCATCAGAAAGTTTTAGGGGAATTATTTAAAGACCATCTTTCAATGTTCTGAGTCACTCAAGTGGAAGGATGTAAGGGAATTTTTGAGAACAAGTCCGTTTAATATGAATTAAGTCACCTCCTGTGTTATCTAGATAAGACACAGAATGATCTTTAGGCATAGGAGACCCGTCTTTTAGAAAAGGGCCGTGACTCATTTCCATTGGTTGTAATGCATGTGTGGGATGATTCTTCTCGGCCCTGCTCTGAGGTTTCACCAATGCTTGAGGCTCATTGTGATGGAAAGATCTTTTTTTACATTGCACACTTTTTTATGTCACATGCTGGATGTATACCTCCAGGTAAAAACCATTGTGTTCATGTGTAGTTTCTCATAAATTAAACATGTCTTTTTTTGTTTTTTTCCCCTGTAGACAAAACTGTGTGGAGTTTTATCCCATATTCCTGATTACACTGTGGATGGCTGGATGGTATTTCAACCAAGGTAATCAGAAAGTACACGGTTCTGATGATGACCATTGTGCTTTAAAACAGTTGAGGAGCAGATAGGTGCCCAACAGCTACTGATCCTGGCAACGATTTTTAAACAAAATGAGCAAATGTCTACGCACATTTCTGTTGCAAATATGCAAACTTGGGCGTCATTGTGATTTAACTCAATAATCATTATTAAAAAACTTGGAACAAACAATATGCTGGACACTTGATAACAATCACATGAACGTAGTCTTCAATTTAAATCATATAATTTTAATTTAATGCAAGGAACAGAGCACAGAATTAACAACACTCCTTAATAATTGAGCACTTACTATGTACCAGGCACTAAAGATTCTTAAGGTTTAACTCTCACATTTAAAATTTTAAGATTAACCCCTTTATATGAAATAAAGTTTAATAAATTCCTACTTTACAGATGTCAAAACTGAAGGCTAGAGAGGTTAACTAATTTGTCTAACATGACATTCACCAATGCAAGTAAGATTTCCCTTTCAAATACACAGCAAGGTCTATGGGTGTTTGTCCCCAAGCCCGTGTACCATTCTTTAAGGGTCTGCAAAGATGTAGTACCACTATCTGTGGCAGTTCCATGGGCAATTCCTCTTCACCTGAGCGAGGTATCGTTGGTGAGCTGAGGGCTTTCTTCTAACTTTGCCTATCCACTTCCCAGGGAGTCAGACCTGCATCAGCTACCTTACTTGGAGAAATTTAATTCTCTTTTGTTTCTGGTGACTTTCATGGCCTCTTTTTTTTTTTTTGGTGGTACCGGGGATTGAACTCAGGTCCTTGAGCTTGCAAGGGAGGAGGCGGAACCACTGAGCTAAGTTGCCGGCTCAAGGCCTCATTTGGATCTGTACTCGATTGCTGAGATTTAAACCCAAATCCAGCTGCTTCTAGAGGAAATGCCATCCATCTCTTTCGTGTAATTTTTACTGTCACTTAAGGAATTTCAGGTAAAATGACCTTTAAAGAAAGACCTTTTAACTTTATTTCAACTCACACCTTTGTTCCTTAATCTCATAAATGAAAGTGGCTGTTCCTTGTCACATAAGAGCATATTAACAACTAATAAGAAAAGTGCCTTTTGATAACGGGATCCCATTTCTGACACTTCACCCTTTCGGCTTCCACATGATAGGCTACATATGGCCGGCTCCTGGCTGGAAAGGACTTCTTGGGTATCTTGTCATAATTTTCTTTTCGTTTTTTTCTCTGGCAAAGTAAGTTGCCAATTAGCTTTCTTTAGCATCCTCATTGGCTTTGTGGGAGTAATTCAGTAGCTAGGGACAGTAATTATCAAATCTGAGAGCATGCATTTTAATTTTTGTTTAGTTGGTGCCGGGGATTGAACTCAGGACCTTGCACTTGTGAGGCAGGTGGTGGCACCACTGAGCCAAATCCCCAGCCCCAAGAGCATGCATTTTAGAACTTCCTTAGATGCTAGGTCACTCTGCTATTTCATTGCCCTTCAAGACCCTTGCTGTATTGGTCAGCTTTTTGTTGCTGTGACAAATATCTGAGGAAAATCAATTTAAAGGAGGAAAGGTTTATTTTGGCTCATGGTTTCAGAGGTCTCAGTTATGGTGATCTTGATCCACTGCCTTTAGGCCTGTGGTGAGGCAGAAACATCATGGCGGAAAGGGTGTGGCTAAGAAAAGCTGCTTACCTCAGGGCAGCTAGTAAGCAGAGAGAGAGCAGTAAGAGCCCCTAAAAGATGCACCTTTAAAAGCACACTCTTAGTGACCTACTTCCTCCAACCCTTTCATAGCTCATTTGGCTGTCAACCAACAGTGAGTTAATCCACTGATGATGTTACACCCTCACCTCTCCAAACTTCTCCTCATCCAGTCAAGTTGACAACTGAGGTTAACATCATACCCTCCGGAGGTCTTCCATGAACCTTTTTTTTTTAATTAATTAAGTTTATTGGTACATTTTAGGTATATAATATGATGCCATTCATCATTGGGAATTTGTACCTTTACATGATGTATCTTGGTTCTTATATTTTTTCCATTCCCCTGCCCTCCCTTCAACCCCTCCACCCCTGCCTATTTACAAAGACTTTGTCTCTGTTTTTCATTTTCTCATATTTATTCCTTTCCCCTACCCTTTCCACTTCCCCTTCCCCTTTAGGCCTTTTCTATCTATTTCACATTATCTATTATACATTTTGATCCTTATTTACACTTTCAGTTTCTCACACCAGAGAACTATCTGGTATTTACATGTGTGTGTCCTGTTTATTTCACTTAAGAGGATGGCTTCGATGTGTATAGTCATTTAGCTATACATGTCTCCAGTTTCCCCTGAGCCCTTTCAAAAGCCTCCTCCAGCTCCCCTCTGTGCCACCCTCTTCAGTTCTTTCATGGCGCTCTCAAGTCTGGAATTTTCTTCTCATTTTTTTCTGTTTGTCTCTGATGAGAGAACATAAACTCTAGAAGAGCAGGGAGCTTGTATCTTCGTTGTTTTAGCCCAGTCCTCATAATAATACCTGTTTTATAGTAGAAATTAAACTATCTTTGTGGCCAAATAGAAAATGAATTTAACTTTAGCGCCTATCAGTCTCAGACATAGAATCTAAATATTTACAAAAGGTCTTGCGTCTGTGAGGAGGGGAGGAAGACATTGGTATTTTTACTGATGAGGATGGCAGAATTTTTTTTTTTTTTTTTTTTTTTTTTTTTTTGTGTGGTACCAGGGATTGAACTCAGGACCTTGTGCTTGTGAGGCAGGCAGAAGAACCGCTGAGCTAAATCCCCGGCCCAATAAGGATGGCAGAATATTATATCAAAGCTTATGCTTCTTTCTTTCTGAGATAAAATTTGCACACAGTAAAAGTCCCGGGTTCTACGTGTTTGATGAGGTTTTGGGGGAAGCATACGCACCTGTGTGTCTGTACTTTCAAGCCTTAGTAAGACACCACTTAGTTAAAATGGCTGTCACTGGGTTTCCTCCTGCCACTCCCAGTCATCCCACTCCTGCTTCCCTCCAGATGCAAACACTGTTCTCTTTTCTCATCATTTAGCTTTGTGTGTTTCAGAACTCTGCATAGTTGGAACTGTACAGCATGTATCCGTGTAATGCTTCACTCAGTTAGCAAAGTGTTGTTGAGACTCACCATGCTGCTGGAGTACCTGTTGCTGAGTAGCATTCCACTGAGTTCCCTGTCTTAGCTTAGTTATTCCTTTTCCTCATGATAGACTTCTGGGCCATTTCTAATTTTTGGCTGATTGTGAATAAAGCTGCAATTAACATTCCTGTACTCAATGAACTCTTCTTACTGAGATGGTTTCATTTTTCTTGGGCAAATACAGTAAGTCCCTGACTTACAGACAAATTCTCTTCCAGAAGAATTATTTGTAAGCCAAATTCATTCAGAGCCAACAAAGTGAGTCTTACACAGAACATCGGTGAAAGTTTGCAACTCAAATATTCGTTAAGTCAGGGACTCGCTGACATAGAAATGGAATTGTTGGGTAAGATGATGTTTGGTTTACAAGAAATTACCAGAACTTTTCCCAAAGTAGCTGTTCTATTGTGGCGAGCTTAACTGTGTCAGCTCAATTGGTCTAGGAGAGTATTAAGCACACTTTGGGATATGTTGTGGAAGCCTGACCTTCGGTCTGTCTCTTTTTCCTGGCCTCTTCCTCTCTGGCTCTGTTCCCCTGCTCTGCTTGCCAGCCACCCCATGGGCAAGGCATTCTTTGCTTCGCCATGCTCTTATGCCATGATGTTCCTACCTCGGAGCTAACCACCCATGGACTGAATCCCCTCGAACTGTGAGCTGAATTAAACCTCTTCTCAACTTGTGAGTGTTGGGTATTGCGCCTCTGTGACACGAGAGCTGATGGATGCAACTATTTTACATTCCTGCCAGTGACCGATGAGGGTTGCAGTTGCTCCATATCCTCACCATTTTATAGTGCTAGTCTTTAAAAATTGTAGCCATTCTGGTGGCTCTGTAGAGTTATAAGTTTTAAGTGGCACTCTGCTAATGCTGAAACTCATGGAAACATTTTTCTTCTGTGTGATTATTGACACATTTGTGTATCTTCAGTGAATTGTCTATTCTGACATTTTGTCCTTATGAAAAGCTAAGTTTTAAAAAATTGAATTGTAAGTGTTCTCTGTACATTCTAGGTTACAAGCATTGTGCCATATACACGTGTGGTCATTATTTTCTCAGTCTCCATGCTTTACTTTGAAAGAGTGCTGTCATATTCTGTATCTTTTCTTCTCCCCCTTCTGCAGTTGCTGCAGCTTGTCTGGGGCTGGTGTACATGTACAGCCGTCAGAAGTACTTCTGGGGATATTCAGAAGCTGCTGAGAAAAGGTAAGAGAAACCCAGTAATGGGGATTAGTGCAGGACGTAGCAGGGTGAAGTCTTCTGCCCCTCAGAAGTATTAAGAAAAGCACCGTGAGCCACGGTGGAATAGGGACCCATGTTGCCTGAGGCCAACTCTTGCCGGGCCAGACAGGCGGGAGATGGCGATACACAGGCATAAAACTGTGCACTGAGCCGGGTGTGCTGGTGGATGCCTATAATTCCAGCACTGTGGGAGGCTGAGGCAGGAGGACTGCAGGTTTGAGACCAGCCTAGGCCACTTAGCAATCTAGCAAGACCCTGTGTCAAAAAATTAAAAAAGGGCTGAATTTGTAGTTCACGGCGAAGGCCCTGGGTTCAACTCATACAAAACAACAACATAAAAATTGTGCCCTGCCTGTGTTCATTCAACCCTAGGAATAATTTCCCAGTGCCTAGGCACACACTTTCATTTAGGTGGTGAACCCACAATTTTAAATGGTCGAAGCAGGAGTTCTGGGCCGTGTCAATAAGGAGTAACCTGTGCCCTGTCTCCCAGCTTCCTCATTGCAGCCGGCTTGTCACTCCTGTCCCTCTTGTGCCCCGCAGGGTCAGTGGTTTCCTATTGAGCCTGGGGACTTTGGCGTTGTTGGGGGTCCTCAGCGCCCTGGGGATAGCGAACAGCTTTCTGGACGAATACCTGGACTTCCACGCTGCCAAGAATCTGAGGCGATACTTTTAACCTTTTCTCTTCCCTTCACTTTCATGTTTGCGGAAGCTGTTTCCACTCAGAAGGTAACGGCCGTGTCGCTTGTTAAATACAAATATAAAGTCTTCCGTTTCATTTTTCTTGAGATGGCTTTGTGGAAACACACGCTGTAGGGAGCCTTTCCTTTGCGTATGAGAGCTGGATGGCGGGGGTGGTCCGTGCCTGTGGTCAGCGGTCGTGCACGGTGATCCGGGTTCAGGTCGCTTTTGTGGGGCCCGGGCAGCCTGACCTGTGTCTGACCTGCCTCAGCGACAGCTTCTGTCTCGGTGGAAGATTCCGAACGGACGCAGGGAAGGCAGCCCCCTCTTCCCCGGCGCTGGTGCTGGGAGTGGCGGAAGCCAGGCAAACACACCACCTAGCCAGAATCACCAGCAAACGTTAGAGGCAGATCGGGCTGCCAAGACGTACTTTAGAAAGAACAAAGGAAAGAAATCGTGTCATTCCGAGGAGACCCCAGGAGCAGGGCTCAGTGAGTATTCTCGCCCCTGGGCAGAGGAGGTGGGGCCTGCTGATGGTGGCAGATCTGGACCGGACTTCAGGGAAAGTCTGTGCCCCACTGGCTGGAGGCGAACCAAGATGGGCCACGTGGCTGTCTCAACTCTGAGGTGCAACCCTGTCCAGCACAGTGCAGTTGACATTCCTTCATTTTCTTCATCTGTAAAATGGGAATGAATCTACGTACAGCCTTCGGAGACTTTAGGGATAACACCAGGAAAGGCGCCCCATCATTATTTCCAGAGAAAATCAAACAGCTTTGAATCTGGTGTGGGCATCTTCAAGAAGCTGTTTAGTGAGCCGGCTGGGGACGGTGGGGACGGAGGCAGTTGCAAAAGCTGTGGGTAGTAGGAAAAGAAAAGGGATGCATCTAAATGCTAGTGTTTCCAGAGTAGAGGAGGAAGACATGTCAGCCCCCCAACCCCATTCCAAAGAGCAGCGTTCAACAAAAGTGCGGAGAATGCAGCGGTCTGGAAGGACAGTTGGGGGCTGTCTGACTCTGGTCAAGGCCGTCATCAGTAAGAGGTCATGTGCAGACTGGTGGAGACTCCAGGGCCAGACCGCCCTCCCCCGTCCCGCCACCTGCTTCATAGCTCTGGGCTCCATCTTCTCTTGGACAAAATGGGCTAATATGTGGTAAAATGCTGCGATCCTCTTTCCACTTGATAATCTTGTCCATTATGATACCGACTGGATCCTCACACTATGAGTTGTTCCCCAAAGACGAGAGAGTGCAAGTTTTGGACCCTACAGCACGATCGGTACAGAAGCCTGTCCTTTGGAAGCAGAAAAAACAAAAGCAAAAACCTTTCCAAATCTGACACTTTACAACTTTTAAGAAGTTCTATTCTTATACTTAAGCATTTTTAAAGCGCCTAAATTGGTCTGATAGACAACATTTAGAAAGAGGCAATGCTTATACCCCGTCAAAGCTTTGTGTCTTTAAACATTACAAGGCAATTTGTTTCCTTTGTTCTAATTCTTGTGTCACCAGGCAACCTCTTGTGTATTTAATCCCTATATTAGATTTGGCCACAGGGAGCAAACATGTGGCCAAAGGGCTTTGAGCTTCCGATTGATCTGGTGGTTGTACATACATATTTCTTTTGCATATTAGTAAATTGACAAATTTTATTTTTAGAAATCAGATTCACTTCCTGAAAAAGTCAATGTTGTGAAAGAAGGGACAGAGAATTTTTCCTCTGTTAATGGAGTCTGAAGAGGCATAAAGACCAAAGGACAGCATGAGATCTTTGATCAAATCTGAGTTAGGAAAACCAAGCTTTAAGGGCCGGGGATTTAGCTCAGTGGCTCTGTCGCCGGCCTCGCAAGCATAAGGTCCCAAGTTCGATCCCTGGTATGAAAAAA